GAAACCAGCTCTCGAAGCAGCTGGCATTCATTTCGTCATGGTAATCACCTCCTTTCTTACAGACGAAAATCAAGTCACAGTCTTCTAAAAAGCCACTATCGCTACCAATATGAGTTACGATCAATCTTTGACCTTTCCCTGACGGTCCACGAAGACCTGTTGACAAACCTTCAATGCTTGCTTGTCGGTTACTCACTACGTTTTTGTCTATCCAGGTTTTTTCAACTGTGTGACCTGCATTTACCCATGTCTCGTCCAAATAATAGATTTTTCTGCTTTGTCGCCTATATTCAATCATTTCGCGTAGGTATTTTCGACGCCAGGCGACTATTTCAGGTCTCTCTATCAATACTGACTTCCGATTACGCGTTTCGTAAGCAATTTGTCATCCGTTCCAAAACAGGCAAGTACTTAATAAGGCAACCGGAGGAGTATTGAAAATGACTATTTTCTCATGAAAAGCGTTATTGTTTCTATATGCATCCGCGGATTTTTTAGTTCTTTTAGTAGTAGTAGTAGTAGAAAGATTTATTTAGCACATTTGGCTACATAAACAGAACAATTGTAAACAACTTAGAACTAGTAAATTCAAGCCATATGGTGTATGATGTAAATGCTGGGCAACCTATAATTGTAGATTTAACAAGTGGTTTCTCAATTTTACTTTATATTTTGTCAAAGTTTTCTGGTCTTTTATCTCTGAGTATAATGTATTATATTCAATCAACCCTTGATGGAATACAGATTTGTAGCATATGTTATACGTAGTCATGCCATAAGTTCTGTCCCTCGTTTTCAAACAAGTGTAGACCTGTTAATACTTGTCCGATTGTTTACATTGTGGTGTCAGTTGATTAAGCGCTTTTCGGGTAATTACATATACCTCAGTTTGTATTGATCTCTCGAAGCATAACGATGGAGTGGGGCAAGGCAGAGAACCGTATTGCAGTGATAGCTTTACATAAGTGTAATCACAGTGCTAGTCAGATTTTTGAACTCTTACGCGGCCTTCAAATATCGCGTAAATTTGTGTCTAGGACCATTCAGCGGTACAATGAGACGTCCTCTGTTGATGACAGGCCAAGAAGCGGAAGACCTCGTCAAGTAAGGACTCCAGCAGCCATCAAAGCCGTAAAAGCCAGGATTCAAAGGAATCCACTCCGGAAGCAGAAGATCCTATCCAGGAAAATGAAGATTCCTGTCCGGACGATGTCGCGCATCATTAAACAAGACCTAGGGCTAGGGGCTTACCGGAGACGTACGGGCCAGCGACTTACGGCCACCTTGCGACACATCAGGGCGACAAGATCCAAGAAGCTCTTGGAGAGGTACGCAGCTGGGGGATTCCGAAAGATTTTGTTCACGGATGAGAAAATCTTCACCATAGAAGAAAAATTCAACCGACAAAATGACAAAGTGTATGCAAGGAGTTCACAGGAAGCTTCGGAGATCATTCCGAGAGTTGAGAGAGGCCACCACCCTGCGTCAGTCATGGTTTGGTGGGGGGTGTCCTACGAAGGGGTCACTCAGCTCCATTTCTGTAAACAGGGCGTGAAAACAAAAGCGGCAAACTATCAGAGCGACATACTGGATCCTATCGTCAAGCCTTTAAGTGGTACATTGTTTGCCAACCAACACTGGGTCTACCAGCAGGATTCCGCCCCCGCTCACAAGGCTAAGAGTACGCAGCGCTGGCTGGAAAGCAATGTGCCAGAATTCATTGCTGCGGAAGATTGGCCCTCAGGGAGTCCGGACCTCAATCCTTTAGACTACAAGTTGTGGGACCTGCTAGAGCAGTTGGCCTGCTCCAAAGCGCACCGTAATATCGAGTCCCTGAAAGCGGATTTGATCCGATCAGCGGCAGCTATTCCTTTGGAAGCTGTGCGTGCAGTGATAGATGAGTGGCCCGCGAGATTGAAGCAGTGTGTGAAGGCCAAGGGGGGACATTTTGAATAAAACTGTTTGATTATGAATTCTAAAAATGTTGTCGAATAAATAATATCTTTCATATAAATATATCTTATCTTGTTTCATTTTTATCATGAGATTATCATGGGACAGAACTTATGGCACGACTACGTACTTTTTGGTCATTAAATGGAAGTCATCTTTATTTCTGGTATTATGTAAATGATGGTCGACATTTGATGATGTTAAATTAGTTAGACTTGATGGAAATATATTATTTTTTACTTTACAAATGAATATCATTACAAGATATTTGATAAAATTTTTTACATTGAGCCATTTTAATTTGCTAAGCATTTGCCTAATTGGAGTATATTTATCTTTATTTAGTATTATTCTCATGCACTTATTTTGTAAAATTTGCAGTCTTTCAAAAATGGAATTATTCGCTAAATATAGAATAGTCGTACAGTACAAGAAATTTGTAAGAATGATGGTATTATAGATAATTTTTCTGCTATATGAACTCAGACATCCAGAAACTCTCGATAAATATCCCACTTTACTACTAATCTTATTTATAACTTTTTCATAATGAATATCAAAAATTAATCGAGAGTCAACAAAAACTCCCAGGTATTTAAAATTTTCTACGAATTCAATATCTTCACCATCAATATTCAGTTGAACATTTGTACATTGTTTTTTTCCGATTAACAAGGCTTTTTAGTCTGTTAGATGCTAACCATTTTGAGACAAGCTTCAAGTCTTCATTTATATAAGAGATACCAGACTGAATATTTTTAGTACTTATATAAATCATAGTGTCATCGGCGAAAATTTGAATTTTGCATTTTTTGACTATGGCAGGTAAATCATTTATGTACTCGTATAAAATAAAAAGAAGTGGTCCCAGGATACTGCCCTGTGGAACACCCAACGTATTTTCAATTTTTGATAAAATAGTGTCATTAACTTTTGTAACTTGCATCCTTTTAGACAAATAATTTCTAAACCAATCTAAAACACTTCCTGTTATACCATATGCCTTCAATTTACCTAACAAAATATCTCTATCAATCGTTTCAAATGCCCTCTTCAAATCCAAAAATACTGCTATGACAACTTCTTCTGAGTCTATGGCTCTTCTCCAATTCTCAGTTACCAACTGGAAAGCTGTTTCTGTGGAATATTTTTTCGAAAGCCTGCTTGCGCCTCCACTAAAATTTTGTTTTCTTCTATAAACTGCATTAATTGGTCATGCACTATGGACTCTAATAATTTTTCAATGTCTGGTAACACATTTACTGGTCTCATATCGCTGTATCTTTTAGAATTTTTTATTTTGGGAACTGGTGTTATTGTAGAGCATTTCAAATTTTCAGGGAAAGAACTGCTTCTCAGTGAACAATTGATCCAATTTAATACAGGATATCCCAAAATTTCGAAACAGTTTTTCAGCACGTTTTTAGTAGTCATTTCGGCACAGTTGTTATTTGATTTTAAACTGTTTACTTTTTTTCTTAGATAATTCAATGATACGCTGTGAAATTTTGAAAGTGTATGCAACATTTCCCCCTGGAAACTGATTTTCATATAGTCAGGTGCAGCATATAATATATACAATATCAACAATACTTTCCACAAAATATTCATTTAGTTTGTTTGCAATCACCAAAGAATTTGTTTCGGTACCGTTTTCGAATTGAACTTGATTTACACAATCATGCGGCTTCGAATTGATCAGTCTTTTTAAAGTCTTCCACATCTTTACACTGTCGCACTTGTTATTATCGATTTGTTTGTCGTAGAATTTTCTTTTTTCTTCTCTAATTACATATACACATTTATTCCTAAGAGTTTTATATACCTTTCAATCATCATTTGATTTTGTGAATATACATTTATTGTATTGTTTGTCTCTCAAATTTTGAGCTGCCTTAATATTCTTGTTATACCAGGGTGTATTTTTTGTCGAGCAAATCACTTTTTTATCAGTTGCAAGATCTAAACAAGTTTTTATATTTCCTATTATGTTGTCATATATTTTTTCCATATTCTCACCAAAATTCCAATAGCAGCCAGCAAGTTCTCGTTCAAGTTTTTCGTACTTAATAGTATTTACGATTTTCTTAATTTTTGTATCAGAAAAATTCCCTACCAATGGCAGCATTGTCCAACTGTGATCGCTAACTTTAGGTGTATGTATAGCTTTAATCCCTGCACATTCGAAATTTACAATAACAAGATCTAACAAAGTCCCTGATAATGATGTTATTCTGGTACTCTCTTCAATTTTTTGCTTGAACCCATAGTTGTTTATGGTTTCTTTCAATTTTCTTGTTTTCATGCTTTTACCATAATAATTTAAATTAAAATCACCTAAAAGGATTATATTGTTTCTAAAATTCCACATTTCGTCGCATTTTTCTTCAAAAAACGTTAAAAATGTATCTGCATCACTGTTTGGTGAACGGTAAAAAGTACAAAGATCATAACGTTTCCCAAATAATTTGAACTGTATATGTGCATACCAGTATGCATAGTCTAAAGTGGTACAATCGAATAATGTGATCTGTATTTTGTGGTAAACATAAATCACTACACTGAAGACCCTTATTTTCGTAGTAGTGCATTAATGTAGGTATGATCCACCATTTCGGCAGCGTTCGCAGTTAAAGTAGCACGATCGTGATTTTTAAATATTTTATTTATTCGAGCAGATCGCTATATGGAAGCTGTCTCCTTAAAACAAGTCCAAAAATTCATAAACCGTTTTACTCAAGACTATTATAACAAATGAAGGAGATCTTGTGAGCATAATACAAAAATTAAAATTGTAATAAAGAAATGAATCAAAATGGTAAGCGCATATTTTCCCAGTTTTTGCTTATTAACAAACTTGTATTCTAATATCTCAAAGTTTGTCACTCGTTTAGAATACCACCCTGTTCTAGCCTGACGCCTCTCGACAGCCGTTCCGTCGTCCGGCGGCGGTCATCCTCAGATCACGCATATGAGTCATTACAGTTTTAGATAGTTACAATATAGTAAATAATTTTATCTATTTGTTTATTCGTTTTGTCGTTTAGCTCGAAAACATTGGGACATGTCTGTCTCCACATAGAAGCTAGCAAATCGAGACATGACCGGTCGAACAAACTGCCACAGTACAATTGCCTGGTCCTGTCACCTGCCAACCTATGGGATCAAGATGTGCAACAGTTTACACAGGATAGCTCGATACTAACTACTGTTTTCAATCATCATGTAAGTTGTGTTTTCTGATTCTTATTATAAGGTGTGATTCAAGAAACAGCGGCATTGTTTCTATAGCAGAATAATAGATCTGATGCCCTGCCAATATTTGACACATAAAATATTACATATACAGATGTTCCAGATAGACGTGCCAATATTTCTGGGGTAGAAAGTGCATTCAAAAGTTACAAAAAAAGTCTCTATAAATATGGGTTCAATCCCATAACCGAGGTACACGGTGAATTTATCTTCGGAGAGGGGAAAGAAACTGAGTTAAGATTTTAGAGGTTCAGTGAGCACATCATGAACAATAGACACACAGAGTTACGATACGGGCCTTAGTCTCTTGATATACAGTAATGGACAAAAGTATATAGACTAATATGAATATTTACCTAAATACCTTTAGAAAACGAATTCATATTTCATTGGTCCATAAACAAATGCGTTATTAGTAGAAAAACTAAATTCCTTGTTTTTAAATTATCTGCAATGAACACAATACGTAAGTCTGAATATAAGCACTTTTTTATGAGGCACAAAAATATGTAGACAAATTCTTTTCAACATTAGTTTAGTACAGTTGCGTGTCAGAAGAGGATTAGTTTGTGTTCATCAAGTATTGTGGAATAAGTTGAGCGATTTTAAGACCATGCCTCGTGGTTCAGAAATTTCTTTCGATGTGAAAACTAAGATCATTGAGTTACACAAAGATGGTCAACGTCAAGTCGACATTGCCAAAAATTTGAAGCTGAAGCGTAAAGCAGTTTGGGCAATATTGAACAAATATAAACAAAAAGGTATCTTGGAAGCCTCTAAGAGAAGTAGTAGTAGTAGTAGAAAGATTTATTTAGCACATTTGGCTACATAAACAGAATAATTGTAAACAACTTAGAACTAGTAAATTCAAGTCATATGGTGTATGATGTAAATGCTGGGCAACCTATAATTGTAAATTTAACAAGTGATTTCTCAATTTTACTTTAAATTTTGTCAAACTTTTCTGGCCTTTTATCTCCGAGCATAATGTATTATATTCAATCAACCCTTGATGGAATACAGATTTGTAGCATATGTTATACTTTTTGGTCATTAAATGGAAGTCATCTTTATTTCTGGTATTATGTAAATGATGGTCGACATTTAATGATGTTAAATTAGTTAGACTTGATGGAAATATATTATTTTTTACTTTATAAATGAATATCATTACAAGATATTTAAAATTTTCTACGAATCCAATATCTTCACCACCAATATTCAGTTGAACATTTGTACATTGTTTTTTTCCTATTAACAAGGCTTTCGTTTTACTTGCATTTAATTTTAGTCTGTTAGATGCTAACCATTTTGAGACAAGCTTCAAGTCTTCATTTATATAAGAGATACCAGACTGAATATTTTTAGTACTTATATAAATCATAGTGTCATCGGCGAAAATCTCAATTTTGCATTTTTTGACTATGGCAGGTAAATCATTTATGTATAAAATAAAAAGAAGTGGTCCCAGGATACTGTCCTGTGGAACACCCAACGTATTTTCAATTTTTGATGAAATAGTGTCATTAACTTTTGTAACTTGCATCCTTTTATACAAATAATTTCTAAACCAATCTAAAACACTTCCTGTTATAAAATATGCCTTCAATTTACCTAACAAAATATCTCTATCAATCGTTTCAAATGCCTTCTTCAAATCCAAAAATACTGCTATGACAACTTCTTCTGAGTCTATGGCTCTTCTCCAATTCTCAGTTACCAACTGGAAAGCTGTTTCTGTGGAATATTTTTTTCGAAAGCCTGCTTGCGCCTCCACTAAAATTTTGTTTTCTTCTATGAACTGCATTAATTGGTCATGCACTATGGACTATAAAACTAAATGCTAGATAAGTTAGATTAATAAAAGTAATTTCGTCCAAAGATTCGTTTAAATCCCCAAGACAAATGAAAGCCGAAACGAGACAAAAGGAATTGCCAGTGTTTATATGAAAACTATAAGTAGAAGATTAAATGATTTGAAGTTATTTGCACGTCGCCCGAGTAAGAAGCCTCTAATCGCGAGGAAAAACCGTAAGGACCGATTACAATTTGCACGGTTGCATCTTGATTGGAGCATTTGTGACTGGAAGAGCGTATGTTTTAGTGACGAATCCAAGTTCAATATGTTTGGATCAGATGGTGTTCATTACGTTAGACGTAAAAATTTAACCCCAAGTACACTTTGCCCTCTGTCAAACAATGACGCGGGTCTGTTATGGTTTGGGGGTGCTTTTCGTGGTTTGGGATGGGACCTTTACATAGAATAGATGGCATTATGGATAAGTTTGTATACATTGACATACTCAAGCATGTCATGTTACCCTATATGGAAGACAATATGCCCTTAAGATCAATCTTCCAGCAATATAATGACCCGAAGCACACTTCAAATCTCGCAAAGAAATTCTTTCTTAATGAAAAAATACCAGTTCTCAAATGGCCTTCACAGTCTCCCGATATAAACCCCATTGAAAATCTATGGGAATACTTAGATAAGCAAATACGAGATAAAAGTTATTGAACTTTTTGCCGCTTTAGAGCAAAAGTGGAGACAGATTGATGAATCTTATATCAAGAAACTTTTACAATCTATGTCGAGACGATGCCAGGCGGTGATTGATAATGATGGTTACGCTACAAAATATTAACACAAACATGGTTGGTTTTCTATAATTCAATGAACTTTGCTTCTTTTTTCTATAATTGCTTTCGTTTGTCTATATATTTTTGTCCTTCATAGTTCCAGTTTTTTTCAATTAATGTTTTATTGAAGGGAGTCTAATAAATTTATTTATGTATAAGTGAGTATTATGCTATAACGAATTATGTATACAGGTTGGTGAATTAATAGAACAAGTTAAGTGAAATACAGCACAATATTAATTTGTCTATATACTTTTGTCCATTACTGTATATTCCAACAGGCGAGAAAATGTGCTACAGACAGGAATATTTATGAAACGTAAAATGGTTATTACATTTTATATATTTTTCATTTCCTGTCATTTAAATTTCATAGAAATCTATTTTGTGATTTCAATAGAAAATACAAATTAGCGCCTAGATGTGAGGATAAATGTTCTGTGTTCCTAATTTTTCTGCGATGTAGCTTAGTTACACATAACGCGAGCACGGTGATTTCCCGGAAAATTGTAATTCATAGCTTTGAACATAACCTCTCTCCAGAAACGACAACACAAATAACCCGTCTGTAACAGAGAATAGATATATACTAAGTGACATATAAATCCGAACACCCAGTTTAAATGGTTTTATTTTATTAAAAGTTGGTGAATGTATTTATCTTACTGTAAATAACAAGTGAAAAAATTTTCAGCCTTATCAGTTGGACATTCCGGTTTTTATACTGCTTTTTTTAATTCACTAACGCTCTAAAAATGAATATTTCAGCCGCAGTAAAGAATCAACGTTGGCCGATTTTGGTTCTTGACATCCTTTACGATCGGTTACGATGCCTAGAGTACGGAGACCTGTACGATTTCGTCAACTTAGTGAGTTTGATAGGGGCCGTATAGTGGGACTTCGGGAAGCTGGACTTTCTTTTCGGGCAATTGCAGTTAGAGTGCAAAGAAGTGTAGACACTGTGGTTAGGTGTTGTCAGGCATGGCTTCGAGAAGGCCGTACGCAAAGAGCAAGGGGCACTGGACGCCGCCGTAGAACAACAGACCGTGAAGATCGCCGCCTAAGATTATTGGCCTTAAGGGACCGTTTCTCCACTACCAGGTCCATTGCAAATGAATGGTTTGCAGAACACGGAAGACCTATTGGCATGCGAAGTGTTTACCGACGAATGAGAAGTTTTGGCTTGTTTTCATACCGGCCACACTGGGTCCTCCCTTTAACTCGAGAACACCGACGTAATCGCCTTGAGTGGTGCAGACAACGGTCACTCTGGGATCAGGATTGGAACAGTATTGTCTTTAGTGACGAGTCTCGATTTTGGTTAGGCATGCACGATGGTCGTGCCAGGGTTAGAAGGCGACGTGGTGAAAGGAGGAATCCACAGTTTTTTGTTGAAAGGCATGTTCATCACACTGTTGGAGTTATGGTTTGGGGTGCTATAGCTTATGGTTCCAGGTCTAGTTCTAGAACCCCATCTTTTACCCTATCTTGACACCTTGGCAGATCCAACTTTCCAACAAGATAATGCTCGACCACATGTTGCAAGAGTCACAATAGACTTCTTTCAACATAATGATGTCACATTGTTACCAAGGCCACCAAGATCTCCCGACTTATCCCCAATTGAGCACGTGTGGGATATGATGGGTAGGAGATTGCTCAATTTGCAACGTCCTCCTCAGACTCTAGAAGCACTTACTTATTATGCTTCATTAAGTACTTATACAAAATTTTATTGAAATAAAACCATTTAAACTGGGTGTTCGGATTTATATGTCACTTAGTATATAAACTTTTTGTCTTAAAAATTACTCAAAAAATCGTATGTTAAATTAATGATACGTACTTAATTAACACCCTGTATATTTAAAAAAACATTCAAAAAGATGGATTTGCTTATTAGGAGGGAATAATATTTACAAAATTATGACAAGCGTATATTGAAATTAATCTTACTTATTTACTACTTATTTGATTTTCCTTCCAATTCTAAATTTCCATTAAAAGCATACAGCTGATCCATGTAATGGCTTAGCCTCCTGTGGATTACCATATTTATGTGCTGCTTCTGTTTCAATCGTTGTATTTTATAAGTAAATAAATATTAATATTATTATTATACCCGGGATATCCAAATAACTTTAAGAAAACGTTTTCAGTAAAAACTAATTGGTTTTTGAAATCAGCGACTCAATTTTATTCATTTGTATGTTATTCACTGATGAACACGACATGTCATATTGTTAAATGTCTTATGTTTTTATTCAGAGTATCCAGAAAGGCAAGACCTCTATAGCAGAGATGCTGTTTGGTATGAACCTGTTCGAGACCGGAATCAAACGATATCCCATCAGGAACAGGCAGAGGATAATTCAGTATGCAATGACATTGTTTCTCAAAGAATATGATTTACAGTGAGTATCAAAGAAAATAGAGTGTGGGGGATGTTCCAAAAAAATGGAAGTTATTTTTTTTTTCAAACGGAAACCCTCTAATTTTGCTTGAACAATGGCAAACCAATTGTAAATGAAGTTTTATGTACCTAGAACCAGGCCAGCCGGTGCCGAGCTGCGTTGGAACATGCCAAAACTTGCATATTAGGCGCGCGCTAGTTAACGTATTGCAGTGCTTGTTTTTTCTATTAGTAAGTCGTAGGTGGTAGACGGTAGACGGTCTCTGACTATCGAACGCGGAGGTACCACCCGGCGGATCTCGTACTCGGGGCCAGAATGTGTGCATTATGCATGCACATGTGTTCCCTCGCCAGAGTCCGTGTGGCGTCCCCCGTAGCCCCACGGTACCCCATGGGTGTTTAGGACTTAGGCCTTCGTATGAGTATAAAAAAACGCCCGGTGTTCCTTCAGTTAACAAGTGGAAGGAATTATGCAGTCCTAAAAAGGGAATATGTTTAATAGGGGACGTAAAGCATCAAATTACCGGTTCAACACTTCCCTCTAATGGACAAGTACTAGCAGTTTTGTTCTATAATGTCCGGGAAGTGAAGTTATCTGTCAATGAGATTGCCAACCTTACTATTCAAAGTGCTTGATATTGCGAATGCCGATGTCCTGCAATTGATGAAAATAAATGAAGATAGGATCTTCTTGCAGGTCGATCTAGTCATTTAGCTAGGGTGGACAAGAAATTAGCCATAAAAGAAGAAAAGGCGCGTCTTAGGAACACCAAAGCAAAAAGCGGCGAGCTAAATATGTTGCTTCCTTAACTCCTTCGATATTATCTTACGAATCAGTGCAAGAAAATTCATCTTCAGATTCCGACATAGATTGACAAGAAACTTTGCCTATCCCAACTCAGATCACACAGCCTGATACTAATCAATCTCAAATGAGGAAAAGTTTCATAACACCAAAATTAGTGGTAGCATTAGATAGGTGTCAGTTAAGTATGAGAAATGCTGTTTTTAATATTGAAGCAACCATTGAGGCACTTGGAAATAACACTGACGAGTTTCCTATAAGCAAGTTCGTCCATTCAAAGAATTACCGAAAAGCGAAAGGAGCGCGCAGAAGCTTTAAAGCTTGATTTCCAACGCGAGGTACCGTATACTGTAACTGTTCACTGGGATGGCTAATTTTTGCCACCTTTAAATGTACGCAATTTTGAAGAAGAACGTCTACCAATTCTTCTCTGTGCCCAAATTGGATAACTCTTCAGGAAGCGAGCAGGTTCATGCAGTTTGGTTTGCTATTTTTTACTGGAATCTTGAAGATCAGATTCTCTGTATTGATACCACTGCTTTGAATACGGTGTCTGTGTGCTTCTCGAACAGAAACTTAATGAAGAAATGCTTATTTTTGCTTGCCGTCATCACGTCTATGGATTGGTATTAAAAGACGTGTTTGAATCAAATATCGACCAAGTGACTACAAGCAATAACATTCCAATGTTTAAAAATTTCGCGGGAGCTGGAAAGGTGTGGATCCCGAGAAAATACAGGTTTATACTGAAAAACCATCATGCCTGAATATTCCATAGACTGACAAGCTGCTATTCTCGACATGAATTAACCAAAGAAGCTGCTAGAGACGACTATCGAGAATTAATTATTAAGTTCCCAGCTCAAACTTTCTAATAAGGATAAGGCAGCTCTGTTAGATATCTGCCTGTTTATCGTGCCAACATACGTGAAACCGTGATTGCAATGCACATTAGCGGTGAGAGCACCTAACCAGGATTTGTGATTTTTAAAGGCGATGACACGAAACAATTGACAAAACCATTTCAAAAGCAACTTTACAAAACTTTTGCCAACATTTATGATATTTTACGGATGAGATCTCTGTCTTATCTCTGTTTGACGACGTCTTAGATGAGGAAACTAAAGAGAAAATTGTTGCTAATTTAGCCAAAGAAAGTATATCAGCCCACGGTAAACGCTACATCCCATCGAAAGAAGAACTTTCTGGCCCATTTTATGGGAAGTCTGGCGAATAAATTTTCCTTTGTCTTCTTTTACTCCTTTGATATAACATGCTAACTGTTAAAATAAGCCAGCATAAACTGCTATTATGGCAATATGTGGCACGTGATACTGCCTTTTTTCCGATAGATCTTATACCTCAGATAGAGGTTAGTTGCTATACTTTCGTTCATTGTTCTGACCTGAGGCCAAGCCTAGACGATGCTGATGAGTTGCCAAAAAGCACAAAACATCTGTCCATGGTTGAGTGTCTGTTATCGTTATTCTCATTTTTTCATTTCAGAGAAACATATCGATGACTCTATTTCAACAAATGCAAGTCCTAGATCAGTTGACTCAAAATTGAGTGTCCAACTGCATGGCCACATAATGATTATTTTCAACACGCTATGAATAAGGCGCAAATACTGAGAGCAGTTAACGGTACGCCAGAAAGAGCATTCAAGTTAATGCAAGGTATAGCACCTATATCCTGACTACAAAGAGAACTTTGAAAAGAAAATTTAGTAAATAATGTGCTTTTAATGATGAATATCTAAGAAATACAAGATACAAATAAAGCAGTGTTTTATTTGTCCATTAAGAATTAGGTTTTGAAATCCATTCTCTATTAACTTCCAAATTCAAACTTTGACCGAAAATCGTATTATCGTTCCCCGATCGCATTAATATTTATTTTTTGGGTTAGTCAAATGGAGGTTTTGCGTTTGAAAAAAGGTCTTTCATTTTTTTGGGACACCCTAATGGTTACACGTGATCTTAGTGGCTGCTTCTAATTAACCCTTTCGCAACGGAAGATCTTGTTACGAAATCTGTCTGTCCTTACGGGGAAAACGCCGCTTGCTGATCTATCCGCTTCCCGTTAGGCATGACTATACGTCTTTGTATTTTTTATTATATTCTTTAGTGAAATAGCGATAATTTGAAAAAAAAATCTTTTTATTTACAAAGACATTTTCATACAAAAATGTTATTCAAAAATACAAATAACAAAAACATAACGTAAGAAACAGAATCCAAATATACAAATACAAATGGAACGTTTAAAATTTCACCTCAGTGTTGCACTTCGTCGCCGGGTTGCAGACATCGCACATTTTCCCGATGTTAAGGATGTAAAACTTCCCAACTTAAAATTCTCCACGCAAGACTTTGGGAACATGATAACTGGGCTGCAATCCGCGCAGTACTTGTACTAGGATCACCCAACGCCAAATCAAACACTTTCAGTTCCTCTTGAACAGTATGGCGGACACCATGGCCTTTAACTCCGGGAATTTTGGCAATTCCATATTGCCGAAATCTTAGAAATGAACGCGTAAAAACCTTTGGGAATGCCTCCTATTTTATTTTGAAACTAATTGTATCTCGGCTCTTCATGAATTATCTAATTTGTTTTATTTTTATTTTTACGAAAACTGCACTCTAGGGAAAAACACGAGAGTAATTATTTGTTGCAAATTGAAAGTAAATTTCGAAAAAAAAATAGTAGCGTACCATTTTTATTTGGAAAAATAATGCCACTCCGCCAGTGGTGCACATTCATTTTAGGTAACAACTTGTGAATGTGGACAATACTTACGTAAATCCTCATACCAAATTTTAGTTAATTCCAGTTTTGAAGATATTAAAAAAAAATGTTTTTTATTTTCAAACTTCACCCCGTATCCCGTTATGTATGTTACATACAACAGCCCCCGTAAAATGCGGTCCTGTGTACGATGCTTCATTTTTGGTCACGACTTGTGAATCACCCTGTATTAGTTTGTTCAACAATCGTTTTGATCTTCTTGATCGGATATTTTCCCATTCGTTGTCATCGAAATCGCACTCAGAATCGCTATTCTGTAATATTTCTAACAACTCGTGATCTGTTAGCTCACAATGAGGCATTTAGAAGATAAATATAACGTAATATAACTAAAGTATCAGTACTCGCGTTCGAAGAATAATGGTCAAATAAACGTGCTGCCACCTGTCTTGACGGTGCCACCTGTGCGACAATTCTCTGCATGCCTGTTTCGCCACCACTGACAATTTTAGCTTGTATGCATAGTATTTGATACAAACAAGTACTGACATATGCTGATCAACACGTCTCTTGTAGTTGAGCGGGGGCAATGTCGCTGAGTAAATATACAGTACCGAGCAAAAGTGGAGACACATTTTATTTTTTTAAAGATTTTATTAAACTATTAAAGTAAACTAGACACTTATGTTTTATTATAACTTAATGTAACATGTAATTCAAAGCCAACATGAAAATAAAATTTCTGCTTTAATAAAATTATACTATCAATTATTATTAGAAAATACAGCCAGCAAAAATAGGGAAACACGAGAGAAGCACACAAGAAGCTAATACTTGGTTGCATAACCTTTATATTTGATAACTGCTAGACATCTTTTTCTCATAGTACCAATTAGGCTATCTATTGTTTCCTTTGGAATAGAATTCCAGACGACTTCGATTGTTTCAAATAGTCGGCACTATTATTGAACTTTTCTGGATGTTCCGTCCGAATTTTCTTATCAACTAAATCCCATAGGTTCTCTATGGGGTTAAGGTCTGGACTCTGAGCTGGCCACTTAATGACATTAATATTTTGATCTGCAAAAAAATGTTATAATTTTCGCTGTGTGCTTGGGGTCGTTGTCGTGCTGGAACCGCCAGCGTAGAGGCATGTTTTCTTCTGCGTAAGGTAGCATGGTATCAGTTAATTTCCAAGTACAGCAGACGCTCGATAATGTAAACTAATTTAATCCAAGTGTGGTTCACATTATCGAAATGTTTACATTAGCGAACGAGATTTATATAATATTTGATTTATTAAAAGAAACGTTTAATACATACTATTTATAACAAAATAAACAAATATTCTAACAACGATAAGTATTTTTTTAATTAGAAGAAAAATAATTGAATTTTTGTCTGCGTAAATTTGCGCTTAGCATTGTCTTCCAATGCCTGCG